GAGAGAGAGAGAGAGAGAGAGAGAGAGAGAGAGAGAGAGCGAGCGCATGATACCAAGGCTGGGCAGCAAAGTTCTACTGGCAAAAGGTTTATGCCTGCCAGAAGCTACCTTGGGCAAGGTGACCCCAACACTGGCCTTCTTCCAACCTCAAGGAGCTCTCTGCAGTTTGAGTTGAAATTCATGGCCAGACCATGAAGTGGGAGGGTCCAGAAGTCATTCAGAGAGCGCCCTAACTATTGAGGAAGACTTAACTTGGCCACAGTTTTGTAGCTTAATTAACTGCAACATACAAACATACAAATGAGTGAAAAGCTGAGGGAAGTATGCAGTTCCCAAGACTGTTGGTCCACACCAGAAAGCCTCTCCTAAATTTGGCAACTTAGAGAATCCTGGCGACAATCCCTTTACTTTCTCTGGGTTGGGACAGAGGTGGCAATGAGCCTCCATTCTCCTATTTGTCTGCTCCACGAGATAACAGATGTGTTAAATGTCCCATTCATTTCTTTAGTGTGGCTGAACCTCCCCAAAGAGAAGTGTGCAGCCCTGCCAGGCTGCCTTGATCCTATTAACCATGAACTAACTGTCACCTTCAGCTGGTTTTCCTTTTTGCTTTTTAACACAAAGCCTTCTCAAAAAAATCTTATTAACCAGCTTTATTTCTCTCGATGGTTTTGTTCAGGGTGTTTTGTGTTGATGATCTCCATGTCGCTGCTTTAACCATTCAATAAAAGTGCATCTGCGATTTATATCACATTAAACCAGAAACGTAGCCTGCTAAAGCTCTCCCTTGATTCAAATTAAAAAGTTATTTCGGGCAGGGCTCTGGAGACGAATTAATGCCTGAAGATGATGTAAGTTTTGAGCCCTAGACTGCTTTTGGAGGAGTACTGGCCCCGCAAGCAGGGATAGGGGGTGAAAACCAATCAGGAAAGGAACAACTTTTAAATAAGTGGCCATTTAAACGCACAGAGTACATTGGAGGCTCCTGGAAACCAAACAGGGAGATCTCTCCAAGAACGTGCAGGGTTCCTTTTTGAAGTTTTGCAATAAAATAGTTGAGGGAAGTCTAAACTATTTTAAACACCTGTGCTTTAACCTTGCCACAAGACAAAGTTCTATGGCCAAAGAATCTGTCTTCTCCCTCCCTCCCTGCTTCCTTTACGCCTCCGGACAGCCCCCAGTTCTCTGCTCAAGCACATGCTCTCCCCCACCCCCTTCTCTTCCCCTTCCTCTTCCTCCTAGTCTTCCTTTTCTCTCCCGCCCCCCTCCATACTCATCCACCTCCCCGCCGCGCCACCCCCCTCCCGCCCCCGCAGTCTAAAGGCCTGGAGCAGTAGTTGCCAGTTGCAGGAAGGGACTTGGGTGGCTCCAGGTGCTGGAGTCCCCCTGTCCATAAGGCACTTGCCCAGACTTTCGGATGATCGTAACAAAGTTCATATTTGCAGAAATTAGTTTGGGTTTTGTTAGGGGGAAAGGAAAGGACTTGAGGTCATCCTGGGGCCTTCGTAGTGCCCCCCCCCCCTCCCCAGGCCTCCTCCCCCGCTGGGACATTTCCCTGGCTGTAGTTTTTGCAGTTATTATCCGGTCGGTTGACACGCTCCATACCCCCCTGCACACATACACCGGCCATTCTGCCTCATTATAGACTAACTGCTGCTAACTTCTCTGCTTTTAAAAGGCAGCCCTGACATTTTTTGGAAGGTGGGTCAACCCCTTGCTGCGATCCACGTGGACCCCGCTTCCTGCAGTCAGACGACACGGCCTCCTAAAGAATTTCTAAGGCGCCATAGAGGAAAGCTCAGGGCGGGGGCGAGAGCTGGCCGCCTGTGAAAAGGCAAAAATAAATCCCAAGGAAGCAAGAAATCGAAGGAAAGGATCTTACTTTAAGTGATCTCCTTGAACGCGTCTTTTCAAACTCCGCGATAGCCCGAGCGGCTGCGCGGCGTGGCGGCTGCGGCTAAGACCTGTGACTAATGCCGTTTGACCTGAGCCCAGGGGTTTTTGTGCGTCCTGCCATTCATTGTAATGTCGTTATCTTCAAGTTTATTTCGGAGAAATCACTCGCGTTCTTTATCCCAAGCTGGGCTTTCTGCTTATTTCTCTTTCAAGGGGAAAGAAGACAGGAGAGGAAAAGAGAATTGCGGACCCTGGTTTGGGGTGAGGTCCTTGTCTACGCCACTGAGGCGACTGCTAGCTGCGGGAGGCGGTAGCAGATCCGGCCCCGGGCGTCCAGGGCCTAAAGCTGCCAGATCTTTCCTGGGACGGAAGGAACCCATCCTGAGGGTTTCTTTCCCCCCGAGGCAGTGGAGAGCCAGGGTGTCCCAGACCCACCTCCCGCAACAGCCTGCGCAACAGCACTGCGCTCTCCAGTGTGGGCGGACCCGGTAGCGCCGCGGGTAAGCTCAGGCCCCAGAGCGAGGCGAAGGACCCTCCAAAGTAGAGTGGCATGAACTTCCTGGCTCTCCGAAAGATGGAGAGTCTCCATTTCGGAATGGTTGGGACCGTGAGGCTGTCTTTTGCAAGCTGCGGACCCGCACGCTTTGGCGGTCGGCTGGGAAGCAGCGAGCACAGTGAAAGTGCGCTTGGCAAGACTGGCGGGACCCGAGGCGGCAGGGAAAAGCGCCTGCTGCCCGGCTCCTCTGGTCCAGGGATGGGGGACTGGGAGAGGGAGCTGACCCGCCAGGCAGAGGAGGAGGCAGCAAGGCGCTGCTGAAAGAGCTTTCCTGCCGCCCCAGCCTCTCTATTAAGACAACTCTAAGGGGTTCACCTTTAGAATAGGCCACAAGGAGCTACCGGCTGCCCCAGCCCTTTCTAGCGTTTCCCCCCTCACCCCCATCCCTTTCACACTCACTCCCCTCTTTTTCCTTGAAAATCCTTCTATTGTGCCAATCAAGCAGATGGTTTGCAGGAAATATAGCTTGGCCTCGCTGACCGAAACTAATTTTAACTAGCTTTCCAAGCCTGAAACGTTTGTTTTGCTCTTACAAAATAGCCCCCAAAACAGCTGGCAAGGGTGAATTAAACCCATTAAAGACACATTTATAAGAAATTATATTCACATAGATTGCCTGAACCCCCTTGTGCAGCCTAAGAGAGATGAGCGCATTCAAATGAAAATGTCGTGAACGCGCCCCTCCTTAATGTAGCCTGAAAGTCTCAAAACATTTTACTAAATAGATTAACTTGACTATTGTCTTGCATCACATTTATCAGCTTCATTAAGTGAATAGCTGAACAAATATATTACGCATGCATGAAAAGCTCTTTTTCCAGGGGCCTCATTGTGTCCTCAGCCCTGACAGGTGGTTAACTGTGTGTTGTGTTTTTTTGTGGGTTTTTTGTGTTTTCTTTCTTTCTTCTTCTTTTTTAACCCGAAGAAAGAGGATCTCTGCAGAGCGCCCTGGCACAGTGCTGGCTTGGTGGGTCCCCTTGGACCCTTCAGTGATATTAACACCCAGAGTGTTGGGTGATGGTGATCTTAGCCCATTCAAGATAATCAAAATTAAATATTGGTGGGCAGGGCCTCGAGTGCTATTTCTTTCCATCCTCCCCACCCCCTTGTCTAGGAAATTAATTTCATATTACTTCTTTTCAAAGCTGACATAACCTCCCTCTCTCCTTGAAAATGAATTACCTCGCTTTTCCTTGTTTGACGGGCTCTGCAGACTGCGGGATTAGATAGCCTTTTCACTCTTATTGGATCCATTTCACTTAACTGTGTGTCTTTAGGGAAAGTCCTTGTCTTCTGGGCTTCAGTATTCTGTGGCCTTGTGGGTAACATGAGGGGTTACCCTAGAGGGCTCTTTCAGCTCTGACCTTCTAATGTTTTAATTAAAAAAAAAATAACGGGGTGCTGAGAATCAAATCCAGGACCTGACAGGAGGCTAGGCAAGTACTTTGACACTGAGCTACATCCCCAACCACATGACCTTTTAAAGTTTTAGAACACTCAGCTCTTTGTGCCTTACCATGGGCCCCAGCAGCTCCCAGCCTCTG